CTTATATATACTGATATCTCAGATATACTATAATCTTCGATGCACAAATAATTTATAAATTGTATTTCTGTATTTTATTTTAACCTCGATGGAGTATCAATTTAGATTTCATTTTTTTTAAGAAACACTTTTTATCAGTCTTTTAAAAATCTTTTTGTAAAACACAAAACTCTTCAATCTAATTCAATCGTAATGTGTACAGAGAATGAAATTTCTTTTATTACCTCTAAATCATCTGGATGACGAATACCCACTAAATATATATAAAAAAATCCGAATTTAATAATGGGATAATATTCATCAGATAATTTACAGAAGAGCTTCCATAATTTCTCTGAAAATTATATTATAAACATCAATACACACAAATGTATTCACTAATTTTATTTTCAACATTAATGTGCACTTCTATCCAAATACGTTGAAAACAGATAAATAATAATAAAGAAAATGAATTGCAAATTGTTATTGCAAAGAGAAGTAATCTACATATAATAAACTTGATAAATATATGTTTCAGAATAAATGATTTATGAATTTTTGCTTCTGACACAGATTTCGTTTGTCAATTAATGTAAATAGGTTAGAAATTTTGTATTTACCTGTTGACACATAGAATTGGAGCGCATTGCCAATAATCGGAAAACCCGATGGTCCCGGTATAAGATTAAGAAGTTGCCCGTATTTTTTATAATACACATAATAATTATATACCAATAAAATAAACATAGAAAATACCAATATAGTAATGAACATTGTTTCTTAACTGTCCTGATGTTTCTTGACTATTTGATTAAGCTTCTTCCGTTTATTGTTTTTTATTCTTCGTACATAAAAATCGTATATAAAATGTCATATATAAAATAAATATTTTTTAATATATATAAAAATAGATATTCGATTTTTTCAATATTCGTAATTATCTTGATAAGTTAAATAAATAATATAATTATATAAACTATTTAATTATTGTTTTAAAGCTTATTTATTTATTTTATTTGTTCTTTTTGTTTATTTAATTATAGTGTATCGATTTTGATATCTAATAATATCGTATTAAACATTTTCTCACAATTAATATAATATTAGCATTTTAGAAGATAATAATATGAATATTGCAACATATTATATAATAATTTAATAAAATTATGACAATCAAATAAAATTAACAACTTATAATATTTGAAAGAAATTTGTGTTAAAATCATATTTTGTTTCACATTAATTATGCTATTAAATTGGGATTTTGCAATAAAATGTTATAAACTTTTATTTTATATAAATTTTATAAAAATTACCTGATAGATTCTATGTGCAACGATCAATGGAAACACATAACTCAAATGATTAATTTTAAGATAGAATTATAAATCTTGTTAAACAGATGCTTAAGTTTAACAAAGCTGCTTGAACTGATAATAGACATCTGAAGCGTGTATTTATATTGTTCTCCCACTCATGCGCATATTAATAATTAGAATTCTTAAGAATCTCTCAATAAATTGAATAATTCATTAATCAGTTCAATTAAAGATAAATAACAATTTTATGTTTATCTGAGAATATAAGAAAATGATTATGAAAACCATTTTGAAATTACATTTAATATTGCCAGCATTGATTAAAAATATCGATCGTTTCTATTTAAAATATATCGGTTTCATAATCAAGATGTCAATATCGATATTAACATAGGAAAAAAATTTTATTTTTTACATATTTTTACATCATTCTTCCTAACACTTTCAATTAAGTAAATATTTTTTTAAATAGGCGTGCTTTAGATAATAAATCATTTAGAAATTTGTCATCTCGAATTATCTTTAGCAAAGTTAACGAACAACGCTAGTTGCTATTTTTGAATTTTATTTCAATTTCAATAATTGCTCTTATCGTTTTTTTAATCGCATATTATATTTCGAGAGATTTTATTTAAAAAAACATGACAAAAGTATGATAGTCATTGATTTTACCTAATATTGTAAAAGTCAATTTTTTTAATGGGATATTTCAATGTAAGTGAATAATTTTTTAATATAAGAGGACAAATAAAGACATATACACATATGTATAATATACACATATGTGTCTCTTAATCTATATATTTAAAATTAATCAAAAAAAAATATTTGTGCCAGTCTTTTGTAAGTTTTTTTTAAAAAACTCATCTTTCTCTTTTCCTCTTTATTTTAATAAATTGTATTTTACTTATTAAAGCACATGAAAGTTTGATATAATAAGAAAATAATATAGAACAATAATAAAATTTCGATTTATATATAGCTTTTAATCGATTTATTTATAGCTTTTAATCAATAGAATGAAATTCTCGTTCCGTATCTTCATTTCAGTTAAAATAAATCTCCATAATATTTATCTTACATTTGCAATAAAATAATATTATACATGGGATATAAACGAGAATCTCAAAGAAGTCCATTCAAAGATTTTAATTCGCTGAATACAAATTTTACATTTAAATATTATTAATTTTATGACTCGGTTATTTGCGTCTTTAAAAATGATTAACATTTAAAGAGCAACATGATAAAAACAAAGTGCACGATCACGAAGGAGTGGAAAAATTTGTTGCGCAAGAGAAAATTGTTGAAGTCTAGTTTATGGCTTATGTTTTTTTGTCTTATTTTTTAACAAAAAATAATGTTATTACTTTTGAAAATTGCTTTTATTAAGAATAAGGACAGATACAAGTACAATTACAGAATTGTATTCATTCGATTTAATATGTTTTTGAAATATTAAAGATGTTATACAAAGAAAGTATAAATCCGAAATTAATACAATATAAGAAACAGATATTATAAAGATGATAAAAGATTTAATTATCATTATAGTAGAATATATGTATTATAGTAGAATTATATATTATAATTCTACTATAGTTTCTACTTTAGTATTCTAATATAGTAGAATTATATATTATAGTAGAATATATGTATATGTAACATATAAAATACATAATCATATATATTGCAAATCATTTATCGAATATAACATTTTGGTTATATTAAAATATACTCCATAATGGTCTAATTAAAATATACTCCATAATGGTCTAATTATATGCTATATATATATATATATATATATATATATATATAGCATATAATTAGTGATATATATATATATATATATATATATATATATATATATATAATTGTGAACACCAAAAAACGGTGATATATATATATATATATATATATATATATATATATATCACCGTTTTTTGGTGTTCACTGGTATATATATGTATATCCCAATGAACACCAAAAAATGGCGATAAGAAAGGACTGGTGTATAGCATAAAGGAATCTTAATTATTTGAATGCAACTTTTGCTCTTGCATTTACAAATAATTAATTTAATAAATATGCTGAGAAAAAAATATGGTTGCCGTTATCATAATTTAACTATAAAGTATAGTTATTTTTGGCGGCACCTACATTTATATAGTTATTTTAGCAGTGTGATTTATAACAAATCCAACAATATATTATTGTTATTGTAAAATTAGTATATTTTCATGTAACTATATGTATGGCACACACATAACTGTCATTTTTACATGGTAAGTGATACTATAAATATGATGCTACTAAAATGAAAGTAAAAGGAACTATATACTATAATAATAAATTGTATTTACATTAATAGTAAAATATTATATTTTTTATATATAATTAAGTTAACAATGTATGTAGTTCTCATAACTTTATAGCTTATAAGATACGTTCATTCACATTATGAAAAAAGTACTATATGTTATTAGGAAGAATTTAATTATATAATATATTTAAATTAATAAACAATAATGCTAGGAAGAGCGCTCTGATGCGCAGCACACGTGGCTCTCTGATGTACATGTAAGCAACGTCCTCTATTCTAGTATTACTACTCATAAGAGGAAAAAAAATATATTTTAGACTTCGTCTAAGTACCAATCTTTTATACACATTTCATAAAAAATTGAATACGAGTTAGTCATCATTTATAATGTCGCCGCGTAGCGACAAACGAAGAAACACGTGTCACACATCTCTTTTCAATTTCAATGATATTTATAGTATAAATTTGCAGTTAAAAACATAGTTAAATGAACTATTAATATAATCACAGAAATGTTTATATATATGATTACTTTTTTACCTTTTATAGTTATATAGTTTATCTTTTATATAGTAAACATATTGAAAAATAATAAATAGTGAAACGAATGTCAAGAATATGGTTACATTTATCATAATTGTGATTGTGTAGATTATGAAAAATGGTTATTTAATATACCATATGTTACTTGATATTTTACTATATTAATATTTCATATTATCATAATTTATAGTAAAATTTTTACCTTGATGGGCTGAACTCGTATAAAGCTATTCGTATAAAGTTATTTTTACTAACATTCTAGTTACAATAACTATAAAAATGATAATTGCAACTATAATTATTTAACTATGCAATCATATTTGTAAATACCAAACACTTTTCAGTGTGCGCAAACGTTACCGTTAGAAACATATACAAGGTGTCCCAAAAGTCCCGGACCGGTCGAATATTTCATAAACTATGCACTTTAGAGAGAAATGTTTTAGACAAAAGTTGTATGGCTTGGAGGGGGCCATCAGACAGTGGCAATGATTTGACCTTGGAGAGTCATTTGAATGTGACGTAAAGGTGAAGGAATTAAATTTAAAGTTGTACGATAATGTGGTGATCTTTCAAAATACACTACATCTTTCAAATGTATAATTAAAACATTTATCACCTAAAATTGAAAATGGACAAAGAAAAAACATAAAAATATTATTTCGTATAACAAAAAAAAAATTTAATTTAATTAACTTTCTTGACAAATTTAAACTGCTGCAGATATAAAAATATAATCACAGTATTGTAAATCGATTCAAGTATATGATGAATATATTTCGTCGATTGAAAATTATTTCGAAGAAAAAGATTGTAGTTACCAAAAAAAAAAATAGAAAACAATTCATTAATCCAAAGAAAGAAAACTTGTTACAGCAAATAAAGATGAAAATTAAAACAGCAATCATGATCCACTATGGCGTCCTCTAATCATCGAAATAGATATCTATAAATTTTAACACCTTAATATATGATGCGTGTATTATTTCGAGAAAAAGATATTCATTTTCATCCAGCGCAAAACTCGTGTGGGAAATGTCGATTGCATCGATTAAAATTTTCTTTAATTCTATAAATAAGACGCAAAAAAATAACTGTTTTATTAGCTTTGCACACATATATTTTATGGATAAACGTTTTTATTGTGATTGCACATGATAGAGGATCCTTACATACGTTAAATTTGGGTATATAGAGTTCTGATTTATAAGATTTTTATGTATATATTTTAATAATTAAACTTAATGTTTACATAATATTTTCCCCTCATAATGTTGAACGTATAATATGCATAACAATTTTCTTCGATTTTTCCCACTGCATCATCTTGTTACACTCTTGCAATATCCACGTTATTTTTAAACGGCTGTTTGCATTTGATCGGGATGAATCTTATATGAACCGGATGAGCAGGATGCATTACTAAATCAAGCAATAATCGAATATTTTTTAAATACTCAACAGGTTCCAAGTAAAAATTATATATCAAAGGAGCTATCATAGCTTTCATCATCAGCAAACCGAGACGTTGACCTACAATTTGAAATTTATGATAAATTATCGATACGAAGAAAAACGAAAATCGCGATCAATTCACCTATGCAATTTCTCGGTCCTGCGCTGAATGGTATATAAGAATAAGGATGACGATTCTTTATCCTTTCGGGTAAGAATCTGTCTGGATCAAATACATCTGGATTTGGCCAAAAATTGGGATCTCTGTGAACTGCGTAGATATGAAGACCTATGGTCGTTCCAGCAGGTACGATATATGATTCTGAAAATTATTATAAAATTGAAAAATACTAAAATTCACGAAAATAAGAGCTTCTTTGAGAAAAATAAAATATAACAATATTGTACTCTTAAAATTCTAATTAATCTTACTTTTCATTCAATAATATATACTCCATACTATGTAACATATTCAAAAATATATGCAGCAAAAAGTGACTATAATTACGTAATTTTACAGCATCCCCAGTCTTGCGTAATATCCAAGACACGCTGGGATACAAACGTAGCGCTTCCTTTAAACATCTGTCTAAATATGATAAATTTTGTAATGACTTCGTGTTAAGTTTCCCTCCATTCTCTTGCATCACAGTATCGACTTCAGCCCTCACACGCTCCTGTGTCATCAATAATATAATGAAAATGTATTTCTCAATTCTGATTTTCAGTGCACAGATAAAAATAAATTCTTAATGAATCAAATTCTAATATATCTAGGAAAAATATATCGTAACAAGAATTTGATATCTTTATTACGTTGAATAAAAGTCTTAAATTATATATGGCAATATATTGCGAGAAATAGGTACCTGGATATCTTTATGCTCAGCTAAGAGAAGTAAAGCAAACATTATGCCCGTCGCTGTAGTATCATGACCCTATAACCATCATCATATACATATCGTTATATTGTTATACATACTTAGACATCATGTACAAAAAATTACTTAGATATCTTAGATATCATGTACTTAGATACATACTTAGATATCATGTACAAAAAAAAGTTTACAGATACATACTGCAAATACGAAAGTGTCAACTTCTTCTCTGATATCCATATCAGTTAGAGAATTTTCTCGAGATGCCGCTATTAAAAGGTCCAGCATGGCTAGCCCATTTTTTTTAACTAAAAAAAGCATATTAATTACAATTTCACTTTTACATGTCACACTTTCATTATACAATAACAGTTCTTGTTTAAAATTTAAACTCTATTATACAAATAATAATGATTTAATTTTACAGCAAACATATGTTGTATTATTACATGTGATTATGTGTTTAATATAAATAATGCAAGCATAATGTATAATATTAAATTAATTGCGCAGCCAAACTTAAATTAGAAGCTCTGATCTCTTACGTACTTCCAAACTCTTCGAAATTTTCTGTCTCTTTGTTACTTTCAAGGTTTTTTAAGTATCGGTCATTGGTGCGTTCGTGATAAAGTTTTCTTTCCGCGATGATCTATACAAGTACAATATTTAATTTTTGACAAGATTTTTTTATATTAAACAGCAATGGTATTGTATTATATCATAGATATTTATAACATAATATTAATATTTAAAATAAATAATGTAATCCTACAAAGATTACGAGATTTATAGTTATTTTACATATAAGAGCGTTGTAAGGTTTAAATTAATGTGATAACGTACTTTTTCCGTAAATCCATGCAATATTTTCAAGATTTTCTTTTGCTTTCTTCCTTGTGGTGACAATGAGAATAATAAATCATTATACAACCAAGGCCTTAATCCTCTAAATCGAAATTCAATAAAACTACATAATTTCAAATGATGATATAATTCCAATAATGTTATTTTGTAAAAGCCTTAATTAAAGCCATCATGAAATTATTTTAATCTTTAATAACCATAGATTGTAAAGAATATATAAAAAATTTAAATCTATATATGTTACAAAAAAGTAGAATTTGTACTAAAAACTTTTTATTTTATCAAGGTTATAAAGTTTTGATCAAAGATAATTATTTTACAAATTTTGAATACAATTTATTTATTTTTTTATTGTTCTGATAATTTCAACATTTTAAAAATTACAAATAATTATGTAATGAAATATTTAGTGATACACATACAATAGATTTTGATTAAAAATTTTCGACTTGTAAACGAAGTGCCGTTTTCACTAATTGTAAGTTTCCCTTTACGTAATTATTCATTAATTAATTTATTTTTCATAATGTATAATGTAATGTATCACAGTTAAAAGATCATAGATAGATTAAAAGTTAGAAAATAAGATTATAATTTAAAACAATTGAGATGAATTATTAGTTAAAATATCATATAATTATATTCTATATTTATAAATTACCTGTAAATAAATAATTCGGTTATATCGTGAACCGCATTTCGATACTTTTGTTGCAACTCGTCAAATTTTTGCAAAGATGCACCCATGACAGTTTCTAAATGCATTTAATTAAAACAGTCGAAGATTATTTACAGGTGAATATTTTGTAGATTGTTTTTTTTCAAAAATATTGAATATTATCTATTTTTCCTTGTTGATTATTGATACTTCGTATAGAAACATTATTCTATATTTATTTGAAGCTATAATCACTTAGAATAAAATTCCTGTATAAATAATGCAAAATAAGAACCACTTACCGCATATCGCATTTAGCGTATGTTCACTAATAAATGGTAATAAATCTTCTACAACTATCCCTCCGACATCTTTCAAAGATTTTGTCATGCAATCGCCCTCCTTGATTAAGGTATCAACAAACTTATTTAATATATTAAAATGGAACACAGGAGTTAACATCTTTCGCCGCGCTCGCCACTTAATCGCTAAAACAGAAACAAGATAACATAAAATTGTGCTATAAAAGAGAAATTGCAACGTAAATGTAATTATTATTTTATAATTATATCTTTTTGAATTCGCAGATAGAAATAAATTATTATAAATATACAGGGTGACCCATTTTAACTTAGGCAGCCAAATAACTCGAAAAATAAGCACACTACGAAAAAATGGTTAGAATCAAAATTTCATCATTTCGAGGGGGACGTACAATGACGTTAAAATCAGCCTCCCCACCCCTTCCCCTGGGCGGTGAGGGGGGGCAAGTTTGAAATCTTAAATGGGAACCCCTATTTTTTATTGCATATTCCTGTAGCTTATCTCGAGAGCTTTCCAAAACACTATAATTAAGTACCTTTTTATTAAGTACTTTTTGAGTTATAAGGCTTGAAATAATTTCTTAATTTTACATAAACCATAAAATATCTAGTAAACCATTCATTTTTCGATTATCTTACCTTCATACTTTTATGTACAAAATAATGAGAGGAATCAATTGGTGTAAAGAAAACATACAGTTGTTTTTAAGAAAAAATATGGAATTGTTAATTGCAAATTACATATTTTTTCTTAGAAACAACTATGTGTTTTCTTTACACCAATTGATTCCTCTCATTATTTTGTACATAAAAGTATCAAGGTAAGATAATCGAAAAATGAATGTTTACTAGATATTTTACGGTTTATGTAAAATTAAAAAATGTTTTCAAGCCTCATAACTTGGAAAGTACTTAATGAAAACTAACTTAATTATAGTGTTTTGGAAAGCTCTTGAGATGAGCTACAAGAATATGCAAAAGCATATAGGGTGTCCCATTTAAAAAGTTGGAGCTGACCTTCGCGTGTCCTTCAGGTGGCTCTTTAAGATCAAACTAATGATACCATCTTATGTCCCCATTGAAACCATACAACTTTTGTCTAAAACATTTTTCTCTATCTTGCTTAGGATCCGAGAAATTTAGGTGGTCGGATTAAAATGAAACACCCTGTATATATATATAATTATGTTACATATAATATATAATATATAATATATAAATTAATAATAATTAAGTCTATTACTGATAGTACAATCTATTCGTGATAGTGTATTTGATTTAACTAAAAAGAATATCTCTAAAATTACCAGATAAAAATAAATTACTATAAATATCTAATGTTTAATAATAATATAAATATATAAATATATAATATATAATATATAAATATATAATATATAATATATAATATATCTAAATTAATATTAATTAAATCTATTACTGATATTACAATCTATTAGTGATGGTGTTTGATTCAACTAGAATATCTCTCTTATCTACTTTTATCATTTATAACAATATGTACGTGCATCACAGCGAAATTATCTCACCTGCAAATTTCTTTTTTATTAATTTTTGTAACAGAGATAAATTCACTATTTAGTATAATATTCTATTAATGTTTTTTAACTTTAATAACAACAACTATAATATTTTTAATTTCAAGTTTATATTTAATTCAGACTCGCATACATAGATGACAGTTCATCAGAGCTTTTTTTTACCGTAGTGTAATATTAAAAGTACTTTTAGTAGTTGTTGTTCTACACTTCCCGCGAAATCTCGCTTGTAAAAAGAAAGCTAATTTTGTAATCAGTTTAACTAATAAAGATTTAAGGATAAAGATAAAAGGAATTACAGAACAGTGACATCTATATTTCGCAGTTATCCTGAGTTATATTGTGCACCGCTGCGGATTAAAAATAAAACTAGATATGTAATATATTTAAGTCTAATTGTAACATTTTATTTGATTTTCTGTGATCTGGCTTGTAAACGAAGTGACGTTTCACAACAAATTGTAATAGACTAGACAACACAAAGCGCGCGCCATTTATTCCCTTTTATTATATATACATTTCTCACTGTCACACAAGCTATCAAAATTTGTAATAATCGCAAATGACAGCTGCTCACAACATGAATTGAGCGCAATAAAAGAACTAATTGGCATCGCGAAAAGAGGCAACAATACTTCGAGACTTTCGAGAATCGACTTAACATGCCTTTTTTAGAATAGGATTATATTATATGAATCTATGATGCAAGGAGAAGAACGACCACCTTCATTCAAACAAGTCATACAAGAAACAATTAAAAAACAGGCTCTAATAAACTTCCAAATTGGATTGCGAGACGAATTAAAAATTCTCGTGCGTTCACGCAACATCACGCTCCAAAAAGCGATAAAGGACGCGAGCACAGAAGAGAAGCTTATCGGACCGTCTATCACACGAGCACCTGGCTTCTCGAATAAAAATAAATTTGATACTGAACACGCGCGACCAATTCGAGACACAAACATACAATGCTATAAATGCGGAAATTCTGGACACTACATTAGATATGTAGATGTGGAGACATGGAGAGATGGAGATATGGAGATGTGGAGAAATGGAGAAGTGGAGATGTGTCATCTCAAGACTGCATTGAAATTATATTTTTAATTTAAATTGAAATGTTTTGAGAAACAATCATAATGTATTACGATAGACGCGATGATTGACATGATAATTTTTATGAAAATAAATAGGAAAGAATGCATGCGACTATGTTTACAGATATGGAGATGTGGAGACATGGAGAGATGGAGATATAGAGATGAGGAAAAATGATGAAATTGAGATATGAAGAAATGGAGATATGGAGATGTGCAGAAGTGGAGATATGTCAACTCGAGACTACGTTGAAGTTATATTATTACTTTAAATTGAACTGTTTTGAGAAACAATCATAATATATTATGATCTATAAGATGAATGACTTGATAATTTTTATGAAAATATATAATAGATGATGCATGCGACCATGTGTAAATGAGTATACAGATATGGAGATGTGGAGAAATGGAGAAATGGAGAAAATGAGATATGGAGAAATGGAGATGTGGAGAAATGGAGAAATGGAGATGTGAAAAAATGGAGAAATGGAGAAGTGGAGATATGCCATCTCGAGACTGCATTGAAGTTATATTTTCAATTTAAATTGAAATGTTTTGAGAACAATGTATACTCATGTATACATGACATGTATACCAATGACATATGTTCCTTTAATTACGTACGATTTTTTTAAACTTTAAACTTTATTTCAGATCAAATTTAAATGTTACACTTTTATGTTAATTTTTAAACATATTACTTGTGTATATTATTTTTAAACATATTACTTGTGTTATTTATTTACATACTTGTCTTCTGTTAAATTAACATTAAAATTAGAGTGGATAAATTGTGACATGTAAAATATATTAAATTTTACACAAAATTTTTACTGTGTAATTAAATTTTCTTTCAAATTATTATTAAAAAAATAATTAAATAAATTTACAAACGTTTATAAAATTAATAATAAATATACAAAAAACAGAAATACATAATATAATAATTTACAATATATATGGAAAAGTTAATTTTTTTCACACAAAATTATAAAACACAATTTACGGTATAAAATATGTAGAATTATTAATACAAACGAAATATATAAAAGCAATAATGAAAAAAATATAAGAATTTATATTTTAAATTTTAATTTAAATAAATGATATAAAATTCAAGTACTTACGCGGTCGAATCATTAATTCGAATATTATCTTATGTTTCATTAGAAAACAGAACTTCCATTCCATCTAATTGTTCAAATTCAAATAATTTATCTACTTCTTCATACATTCTTTCAAATTCCTTTTGATCCGACATATTGCTTTTACTAAGATGATTTCTTCTTCTAAAGTGTACTTCTTATAAAATCTACTTTTTCTGTTTTTTTACATAACAACTTATTAATCGCATAACAATAGCATAGCATAATTATACAATAATAAAAATATTTTTCTAACACACTATTAATCTATTAATATAAACGATTACCCGCGATGACAGCCGATTTATACTCTGAATATATATTCATAATAAGAGAGAATCGAGACAATCAATCAGCATCGCGGAAAAGCGGCAACAATACATGCGAGAATCGATTTAACACGCCTTTTTTAATAGTAGAAAAGTATATATGTACTTATATATATATTAACATTATTATATTTTATTATTTTATTATTATATTATATTATATATTATATTATATTATATTATATATTATATTATATAATATTTTATTATTATATTATTATTATATTACCTGTACTAGTGCCGAGACCTGTATTTAACCAAGGATGAGCAATGTTATACAGAAAACTTTTCTCGATATGCTTAGTGCTGCTTAGTATCATCTGAAATCATTAGAAACAGAAAGAAATATATATTATTCACTTATTATATTACTGAAATATCTTATATATACTGATATCTCAGATATACTATAATCTTCGATGCACAAATAATTTATAAATTGTATTTCTGTATTTTATTTTAACCTCGATGGAGTATCAATTTAGATTTCATTTTTTTTAAGAAACACTTTTTATCAGTCTTTTAAAAATCTTTTTGTAAAACACAAAACTCTTCAATCTAATTCAATCGTAATGTGTACAGAGAATGAAATTTCTTTTATTACCTCTAAATCATCTGGATGACGAATACCCACTAAATATATATAAAAAAATCCGAATTTAATAATGGGATAATATTCATCAGATAATTTACAGAAGAGCTTCCATAATTTCTCTGAAAATTATATTATAAACATCAATACACACAAATGTATTCACTAATTTTATTTTCAACATTAATGTGCACTTCTATCCAAATACGTTGAAAACAGATAAATAATAATAAAGAAAATGAATTGCAAATTGTTATTGCAAAGAGAAGTAATCTACATATAATAAACTTGATAAATATATGTTTCAGAATAAATGATTTATGAATTTTTGCTTCTGACACAGATTTCGTTTGTCAATTAATGTAAATAGGTTAGAAATTTTGTATTTACCTGTTGACACATAGAATTGGAGCGCATTGCCAATAATCGGAAAACCCGATGGTCCCGGTATAAGATTAAGAAGTTGCCCGTATTTTTTATAATACACATAATAATTATATACCAATAAAATAAACATAGAAAATACCAATATAGTAATGAACATTGTTTCTTAACTGTCCTGATGTTTCTTGACTATTTGATTAAGCTTCTTCCGTTTATTGTTTTTTATTCTTCGTACATAAAAATCGTATATAAAATGTCATATATAAAATAAATATTTTTTAATATATATAAAAATAGATATTCGATTTTTTCAATATTCGTAATTATCTTGATAAGTTAAATAAATAATATAATTATATAAACTATTTAATTATTGTTTTAAAGCTTATTTATTTATTTTATTTGTTCTTTTTGTTTATTTAATTATAGTGTATCGATTTTGATATCTAATAATATCGTATTAAACATTTTCTCACAATTAATATAATATTAGCATTTTAGAAGATAATAATATGAATATTGCAACATATTATATAATAATTTAATAAAATTATGACAATCAAATAAAATTAACAACTTATAATATTTGAAAGAAATTTGTGTTAAAATCATATTTTGTTTCACATTAATTATGCTATTAAATTGGGATTTTGCAATAAAATGTTATAAACTTTTATTTTATATAAATTTTATAAAAATTACCTGATAGATTCTATGTGCAACGATCAATGGAAACACATAACTCAAATGATTAATTTTAAGATAGAATTATAAATCTTGTTAAACAGATGCTTAAGTTTAACAAAGCTGCTTGAACTGATAATAGACATCTGAAGCGTGTATTTATATTGTTCTCCCACTCATGCGCATATTAATAATTAGAATTCTTAAGAATCTCTCAATAAATTGAATAATTCATTAATCAGTTCAATTAAAGATAAATAACAATTTTATGTTTATCTGAGAATATAAGAAAATGATTATGAAAACCATTTTGAAATTACATTTAATATTGCCAGCATTGATTAAAAATATCGATCGTTTCTATTTAAAATATATCGGTTTCATAATCAAGATGTCAATATCGATATTAACATAGGAAAAAAATTTTATTTTTTACATATTTTTACATCATTCTTCCTAACACTTTCAATTAAGTAAATATTTTTTTAAATAGGCGTGCTTTAGATAATAAATCATTTAGAAATTTGTCATCTCGAATTATCTTTAGCAAAGTTAACGAACAACGCTAGTTGCTATTTTTGAATTTTATTTCAATTTCAATAATTGCTCTTATCGTTTTTTTAATCGCATATTATATTTCGAGAGATTTTATTTAAAAAAACATGACAAAAGTATGATAGTCATTGATTTTACCTAATATTGTAAAAGTCAATTTTTTTAATGGGATATTTCAATGTAAGTGAATAATTTTTTAATATAAGAGGACAAATAAAGACATATACACATATGTATAATATACACATATGTGTCTCTTAATCTATATATTTAAAATTAATCAAAAAAAAATATTTGTGCCAGTCTTTTGTAAGTTTTTTTTAAAAAACTCATCTTTCTCTTTTCCTCTTTATTTTAATAAATTGTATTTTACTTATTAAAGCACATGAAAGTTTGATATAATAAGAAAATAATATAGAACAATAATAAAATTTCGATTTATATATAGCTTTTAATCGATTTATTTATAGCTTTTAATCAATAGAATGAAATTCTCGTTCCGTATCTTCATTTCAGTTAAAATAAATCTCCATAATATTTATCTTACATTTGCAATAAAATAATATTATACATGGGATATAAACGAGAATCTCAAAGAAGTCCATTCAAAGATTTTAATTCGCTGAATACAAATTTTACATTTAAATATTATTAATTTTATGACTCGGTTATTTGCGTCTTTAAAAATGATTAACATTTAAAGAGCAACATGATAAAAACAAAGTGCACGATCACGAAGGAGTGGAAAAATTTGTTGCGCAAGAGAAAATTGTTGAAGTCTAGTTTATGGCTTATGTTTTTTTGTCTTATTTTTTAACAAAAAATAATGTTATTACTTTTGAAAATTGCTTTTATTAAGAATAAGGACAGATACAAGTACAATTACAGAATTGTATTCATTCGATTTAATATGTTTTTGAAATATTAAAGATGTTATACAAAGAAAGTATAAATCCGAAATTAATACAATATAAGAAACAGATATTATAAAGATGATAAAAGATTTAATTATCATTATAGTAGAATATATGTATTATAGTAGAATTATATATTATAATTCTACTATAGTTTCTACTTTAGTATTCTAATATAGTAGAATTATATATTATAGTAGAATATATGTATATGTAACATATAAAATACATAATCATATATATTGCAAATCATTTATCGAATATAACATTTTGGTTATATTAAAATATACTCCATAATGGTCTAATTAAAATATACTCCATAATGGTCTAATTATATGCTATATATATATATATATATATATATATATATATAGCATATAATTAGTGATATATATATATATATATATATATATATATATATATATATAATTGTGAACACCAAAAAACGGTGATATATATATATATATATATATATATATATATATATATATCACCGTTTTTTGGTGTTCACTGGTATATATATGTATATCCCAATGAACACCAAAAAATGGCGATAAGAAAGGACTGGTGTATAGCATAAAGGAATCTTAATTATTTGAATGCAACTTTTGCTCTTGCATTTACAAATAATTAATTTAATAAATATGCTGAGAAAAAAATATGGTTGCCGTTATCATAATTTAACTATAAAGTATAGTTATTTTTGGCGGCACCTACATTTATATAGTTATTTTAGCAGTGTGATTTATAACAAATCCAACAATATATTATTGTTATTGTAAAATTAGTATATTTTCATGTAACTATATGTATGGCACACACATAACTGTCATTTTTACATGGTAAGTGATACTATAAATATGATGCTACTAAAATGAAAGTAAAAGGAACTATATACTATAATAATAAATTGTATTTACATTAATAGTAAAATATTATATTTTTTATATATAATTAAGTTAACAATGTATGTAGTTCTCATAACTTTATAGCTTATAAGATACGTTCATTCACATTATGAAAAAAGTACTATATGTTATTAGGAAGAATTTAATTATATAATATATTTAAATTAATAAACAATAATGCTAGGAAGAGCGCTCTGATGCGCAGCACACGTGGCTCTCTGATGTACATGTAAGCAACGTCCTCTATTCTAGTATTACTACTCATAAGAGGAAAAAAAATATATTTTAGACTTCGTCTAAGTACCAATCTTTTATACACATTTCATAAAAAATTGAATACGAGTTAGTCATCATTTATAATGTCGCCGCGTAGCGACAAACGAAGAAACACGTGTCACACATCTCTTTTCAATTTCAATGATATTTATAGTATAAATTTGCAGTTAAAAACATAGTTAAATGAACTATTAATATAATCACAGAAATGTTTATATATATGATTACTTTTTTACCTTTTATAGTTATATAGTTTATCTTTTATATAGTAAACATATTGAAAAATAATAAATAGTGAAACGAATGTCAAGAATATGGTTACATTTATCATAATTGTGATTGTGTAGATTATGAAAAATGGTTATTTAATATACCATATGTTACTTGATATTTTACTATATTAATATTTCATATTATCATAATTTATAGTAAAATTTTTACCTTGATGGGCTGAACTCGTATAAAGCTATTCGTATAAAGTTATTTTTACTAACATTCTAGTTACAATAACTATAAAAATGATAATTGCAACTATAATTATTTAACTATGCAATCATATTTGTAAATACCAAACACTTTTCAGTGTGCGCAAACGTTACCGTTAGAAACATATACAAGGTGTCCCAAAAGTCCCGGACCGGTCGAATATTTCATAAACTATGCACTTTAGAGAGAAATGTTTTAGACAAAAGTTGTATGGCTTGGAGGGGGCCATCAGACAGTGGCAATGATTTGACCTTGGAGAGTCATTTGAATGTGACGTAAAGGTGAAGGAATTAAATTTAAAGTTGTACGATAATGTGGTGATCTTTCAAAATACACTACATCTTTCAAATGTATAATTAAAACATTTATCACCTAAAATTGAAAATGGACAAAGAAAAAACATAAAAATATTATTTCGTATAACAAAAAAAAAATTTAATTTAATTAACTTTCTTGACAAATTTAAACTGCTGCAGATATAAAAATATAATCACAGTATTGTAAATCGATTCAAGTATATGATGAATATATTTCGTCGATTGAAAATTATTTCGAAGAAAAAGATTGTAGTTACCAAAAAAAAAAATAGAAAACAATTCATTAATCCAAAGAAAGAAAACTTGTTACAGCAAATAAAGATGAAAATTAAAACAGCAATCATGATCCACTATGGCGTCCTCTAATCATCGAAATAGATATCTATAAATTTTAACACCTTAATATATGATGCGTGTATTATTTCGAGAAAAAGATATTCATTTTCATCCAGCGCAAAACTCGTGTGGGAAATGTCGATTGCATCGATTAAAATTTTCTTTAATTCTATAAATAAGACGCAAAAAAATAACTGTTTTATTAGCTTTGCACACATATATTTTATGGATAAACGTTTTTATTGTGATTGCACATGATAGAGGATCCTTACATACGTTAAATTTGGGTATATAGAGTTCTGATTTATAAGATTTTTATGTATATATTTTAATAATTAAACTTAATGTTTACATAATATTTTCCCCTCATAATGTTGAACGTATAATATGCATAACAATTTTCTTCGATTTTTCCCACTGCATCATCTTGTTACACTCTTGCAATATCCACGTTATTTTTAAACGGCTGTTTGCATTTGATCGGGATGAATCTTATATGAACCGGATGAGCAGGATGCATTACTAAATCAAGCAATAATCGAATATTTTTTAAATACTCAACAGGTTCCAAGTAAAAATTATATATCAAAGGAGCTATCATAGCTTTCATCATCAGCAAACCGAGACGTTGACCTACAATTTGAAATTTATGATAAATTATCGATACGAAGAAAAACGAAAATCGCGATCAATTCACCTATGCAATTTCTCGGTCCTGCGCTGAATGGTATATAAGAATAAGGATGACGATTCTTTATCCTTTCGGGTAAGAATCTGTCTGGATCAAATACATCTGGATTTGGCCAAAAATTGGGATCTCTGTGAACTGCGTAGATATGAAGACCTATGGTCGTTCCAGCAGGTACGATATATGATTCTGAAAATTATTATAAAATTGAAAAATACTAAAATTCACGAAAATAAGAGCTTCTTTGAGAAAAATAAAATATAACAATATTGTACTCTTAAAATTCTAATTAATCTTACTTTTCATTCAATAATATATACTCCATACTATGTAACATATTCAAAAATATATGCAGCAAAAAGTGACTATAATTACGTAATTTTACAGCATCCCCAGTCTTGCGTAATATCCAAGACACGCTGGGATACAAACGTAGCGCTTCCTTTAAACATCTGTCTAAATATGATAAATTTTGTAATGACTTCGTGTTAAGTTTCCCTCCATTCTCTTGCATCACAGTATCGACTTCAGCCCTCACACGCTCCTGTGTCATCAATAATATAATGAAAATGTATTTCTCAATTCTGATTTTCAGTGCACAGATAAAAATAAATTCTTAATGAATCAAATTCT